GTCCACAGACTTCCGGAAGGTCCGGAAGCTGTCTCTTATACACATCTAGATGTGTATAAGAGACAGAGCCAGGACCAAAAGGTCCTTTTTTTAAAAAAAAAAAAAAAAAAAAAAAAAAAAAAAAAAGGACCGGGAGGAAAGTACAGTTCGGTTGGTTACCTTCCTGCGCTCCCCTCCCACCCAACCCTTTGCCTGCATTCCCGGTTGGTAAGTGCCACGTCAGCAGTGCTACGACAACAGCAGTGCCCCGTCAGCAGCAGTGCCCTGTCAGCAGCAGTGCCACGTCAGCGGCAGTGCCATGTCAGCAGCAGTGCCACGTCAGCGGCAGTGCCTCGTCAGCAGTGCCATGTCATCAGCAGTACCACGTCAGCAGGGCCCCGCCACCATGACGGGTTCATCATTGGGCATGACAGGCCAACTGGCCGTCGAGTCCATTGACGAGTACCATCAGCGGTTTCTAGCTCAGCTCGCACTGATCGAGGCTGAGGTACAACGTCGGGCGGCAGCCGAGGAAGCCCGCCTACAGGCTGAAGCAGAGGCAGCAGCTAAAGAGCAGTGGCTTCAGGCCGACGCAGACGCAGATACCCAGATACGCGGCAAGGAGGCCCAGGATCTGCTACAGCGGCACAAAGCTGCCAGCGTCAAAAGGCTCAAGTTCTGGCATTTTGAACCAGCTGAGGACAACGACGATAAGACACCGGAAGAGCAGCACAAGGAGTTCCTCTCCAAACTCGTGACCTGGTTGGTTTACATTTGTAACCACCTGCAGTCCGAGTTAGAGAAACAACACCAGGAACTGGCGAAACAACACCAGGAACTAGCTAACAACACCTGGAACTGGCGAATCTCCGACGGACAATGCAGAACCACAAGGATCGGCACGAGGATGCTACATGGGCACTTCATTCCCGTGTACAGGACTTGGAGCAAGCCGCACCGAGAACAGATGCTAGCGAGACCAGCAGTGCACCCTCAACCCACCAATTGGAGGAACGAGTGGACCATGTAGTCGCAATGCTCAGCGACATCAGTACCTTCGCCGCACCAGCCACCATCAGCGAGCAGCTCGACACCTTGCAGACCGAGCTCAGGCAGCTACATCAGCTGCCCGATAACGATCGCAGTGTCAGTTCATCGAAGCACTACAAGATGCCGACGTTCCGGATCGAGAAGTTTGACGACTATACGCATCAGGACCCAGTCGTCTGGCGGGACGGTTTTACAACGGAGCTTGGGATTCACGAGGTCCCCGAATACTTGTTCATCTCGGCGTTGTTCCTCAACGCCAAGGGCGGGTGCCAGATCTGGCTCAGCCACATGGCAACCATCTACGGCGTCCAGGTCAGCCATCTACACAAGAAGATCTCCTATGAAGATATGATGAGAGAATGGAAGAAGCGGTTCATCGTTGACGACGCCCCGACGCTCGCCATCAACCGCCTCTTCACCATGACCCAAGGCAACACACCGACACGCAAAGATCATGGCAACGCCCGATCTCGGGTTGCCATTTTCACATTTTGCGCCGAGAGTTCTACAACCGGTCGTGTGCCGCCTTGAGTCTCGCACTCGGTGATCGCGAGTAGTACACGACCTTTGCCGAAATTATTGACAAGGCGCGAGAGATCATCAAGACCAATCGAGTTGCTGCACACAAGAAATCGCCGTGGCAGCCAGCCCATGTGGAGAAAGGAAAATTTGGTCCGCGTCCGCAGCCCGTCGCTGCAGTCCAACCGGACAACATTGTGGAAGCCCGGCAGCCAACCCAGCATCACAAGAGGGAGATCAGGTGGCCTCCATCCAGCCACGAAGCAACAACAACTCCCGAGGAAAAGGGAAGGCGAAAACTGCATCGCCGGCTGAAAATGGACAGCCAGTACCACAACTCAGGAAACTGAGTTGCGCGGGAGGTGAGGCGACTCTACCTCTCACTCCGCCAGATTCGGCCGCCTTGCTAGCGGCCTCCTACACATCTGGGGAGGAGGCGCATGTCACAAGTCCTCGGTAATCTTACAAGGATTACGCTGTCCACTTGGTCCCACCGTTGGACCAACCACTCCACGTGCAACAATCCACCGCATGCACGGTTCAGACTCGACATTTGGGACTTGATGACATTTGGGTTCAGACTCGACATTGGGATTGAGACATTGGACGAGGGATTATTTGGGAGCTGTACCAAAGACTTGGTGTTGACGACATTCCCATCTTTCCCCTCTTCTTCGTCTAATCCCCTTCCTCTTCGTCTGTGTATGATTGGGAGCTGGCGCATTCCTCCTGTGTGAGCGCCAGGCCCCTTCACACGATGTGATGATGATGATGTATGTTTGGCCTGCATTGCGACATTGATTGGTCTGACCATTGGTATTTCAGCCTTCCGCTGCGCTATCCAGTACTATGTGAGAGAGGTCGGTTCTTGTTCGGGTCTGCACCTTTACGGTATGCGACATGTAGACACCATGCGGGGTGGGGAAATGCTGTCCTGTCGATTGCTCGATTTCGCCCTCCTTCCCTCGGTTCTTTCATCCTTATCTTCTTCCTTCCTTTCTTCTTCTCCTTCCCTCATATCTGGTGTGGACTGGTAAGGTGCCATGACAGCGGTGCCATGTCGACAGTTGGGTGACATCGCCGGGGTGCCGGCAGTTGGGTGGCATCTCAGCAGTGCCACAGCAGGTTGTGTGATACATCTGCAGCGCCATGTCAGCAGCCTTGTGCGACATCATCACACTAGCTCATGGTTGTTGTGCCATGCATTTTTTGTGCTGTGCAGCTTGACTAGGGAGATGGACACAAGCAGGATGCCTCAGCTGAGGTGCAGTTAGTCGGTCTGCAGACCCGTGCAGATGAGGCACGGAAGCATGCATCATCTACGAAGGAGGCATACGAGAAGGAAGAACAGGAAAAGGAAAGGAAAAGACTGGCGGAGGAGGAAGAGGAGTGCAAGGCACAAGAAGACCACCAAACAGCAGGGGGAGGTAGATGAGGCTGCACACGAAGTTCGGATGGCTGTCTGTGTGGCTGTGTTTTGATTGCGGAGAACACCATTCAGTCTGACTCCACAGCTCGGAGTATCAGGGCTGCTGATCCGACGACATCCAGTTGCAATAGGCCACCGGCGTCCTCTTCAACAACTTTGGCCAGTCGGTGACAGATTGAATACAGCAGCAGGAATGACCTCCACACCAACCAGCAGAAATTGATGGCATAACATGATGGACTGTTTAACAGATGTCGTTCTTGGAGAAACAGCCACAGGCTGTGGCTTGCTTTTCCAGACCTTGGGCATCATCGTAGCGTCAGCTTATGGATGATGTTGCAGCCCACCTCAGTGATATCCAGCATTTTCTGCTGCACCATCCGCTATCTCAGGTAGCTTGTGAGGCTGATGCGGCAGGTTACTTCCTTGAAGCAGCAGCAGCAGGTTACTTCCTCGAAGCAGCAGCAACAGACTGTTCAGGGGGTTCTGCTTTGTAGAAGATGCAAAATATTGAGGTCAATGCGTCTGATGATTACCACAAGGCTGATCTTGTTGTGTGGTGGCATCTTTCCCAATATTGAGGGTTTTACCAATGCATTGGAGATCCATCACATTCCCAAGGACAACAAGATATCTGCAATTCGTAGAAGATGCAGAATATTGAGGTCCCTGCGTCCGATGATTACCACAAGGCTGATCTTGTTGTGTGGTGGCATCTTTCCCAATATTGAGGGCTTTACCAATGCATTGGAGATCCATCACATTCCCAAGGACAAAAAGATATCTGCAATTATCTTTGGTCAACCAACTCGTGTCAGACATGGCTTGACCACGTAGCACAGTGGCATCATGTGACCCCAATGCAGCTGTATACGAAAGTCAGCTAGGCTGAATTGGAGAAGGCATGGAATACCCATTTGTCGCATACCAAGATGGTACAGACCAGAACCAAGAACCGACCTCTCACAGTTAGAGCAAGATAGCACAGCAGAAGACTGGAATACCAATGATCAGACCCAATCAATGTCGAAATGCAAACTGGACATACATCATCATCATCACAGGGTGTGAATGGCCTGGCGCTGCACACAAGGACGAAGGTGCCAGGGCTAGCTCATACACAGATGAGGAGGAGGGGGAAGAGACGAAGAAGAGGGTGGAGGAGATGAGAATGCGTCAACCCAAATGTCGCTGATATAAATCCTAAATAGTCCCGACGTCTCTGTCCAATGTCAAGTCTGAATCCCAAATGTCGGCAATCTCTCTCTCTCTCTCTCTCTCTCTCTCTCTCTCTCTCTCTCTCTCTCTCTCTCTCTCTCTCTCTCTC